AACGCTCCCTTTTCCCTTCAGGGTAGACTGTGGAAGTGGCAATCGGATAAGGTGAGCGACCTTGTTCACAGAGATATAAGCTCCCTGGCTAATGTAGACCCTGGCTGACTTGGGCCATCTGATCATAAGCTCATACTCTTCCAAGGTTGGAACCAAATCAAACTGAGGGAACTCAAAGCAATGTAGTCTGGAGCTCCAAGAGTGGGTCAAGACTCTGACAAACACGTGGTCAATGCAAATTTTCAAGAGGCCTAGGATTCATCCGTAAGATCTCTCGAAGTCGGATCGAACTTCCGGCGGCATCAACGCGCATAACTGCTCCAACCTCTCAACACGGTAACAGGGAATATCCACTTTTCCCAACTGCCTACTGTTGGATCCCTCCATTTTTCTAGAAACGGAAAAATGCATGCTATGAGTATGATGCTTTCGCATGCATGAAAGTGTGTTGTTTTTTTTCTAAACATTATCATGTTTTATTTTCTACATGGTGCATGATAGTGTGTTTTTTTTTTTGCTGTATGTATTTTTTGAAGAAAATGAAACTACCTATATGGATGATGGATTCAATGCTTAACACCATGAAGGGGGCCCCATTTCCTCTTATTATGGTTGTTGTTTGATTTATTTGGTTTTTAAAACCTTTTATCTCTTCTGTCGGACTGCGTGGCTACTTAGCTTACAAAGAACATGAAACCAGGCTAGCTAAAAGGCGATCGTCCGAGATAAGGGTGTTTATTGTGAAAAGATTTTTGAGATTTTGTTTTTATATATATATATATATATATATATATATATATATATATATATATATATTTGTATGATTATGTTATGCAACAATCAAATGCAACAAACAAATGCACAAACAATTCACTCATCCACGAACAGAGTGCCTTTTTATTCACAAGGTAGGGGTTTCCTACAGAAAAGTGCATTGGCAAAGGTAGGTGCTAACTGTTCTCACCAAGGTCAGGCCCCCAAGGTGCCCCCATTATAGGGACCCTTCAATCTCTCAGTCTTTGAAACATGCACGGATCTCTGTGTCGATGTTCTTGGATCAAAAGAAGAAGGTTATCACCTTGAGTGGTGGTTTCCAACAACGACCTGCTGGCATTAAGGCCATTACCATGGTCGATCGTACCTGCCACCCACTCCCTATGTGTATTCTCTCTTGCCCACAGGTATAGAGGGACTATTGTGTGCAAGGGTTTGTGTACAATTTATTTCAGACAATTGCAGAAAATAAGCATACAACAATTATTAAAGGCAAATAGTAAAGCATGTTATAAAGCAAGAAAGGGTAAAAGCGTAATTTCTAGTTTTTATTTCTTTAAATTAGTCCATCACTAAATGTGATCAACTCTCTAGCTTCCCCAATTGAGTCGCCATCTATCGCCGCTATCAAAAGAGGCGATTGAAGCGACGCGATGATTTTGATTAACGCCTTTAGGTTGTCCGATAACCGGGCTGTACCTAAAGGCGAAGTTTTCGAAAAGGTTCGAGGAGTCGCCATCAGTGTTTTAACCTTAAACACTGAAAAAGGTAAAACAAGAAGAAGGCAGCGGTTTTAGAAAAAACAAACTTTGGCCATTACAACTAGAGTTGGGTAAGGGATTTAGTTACGTGTGGGAAAGGTATTAGCACCCCACAACGCCCCTTTCGGGTTCCCTATGGTGGACTAGTTTAGAAAATAAACACTTAAAGAAATTATGCTTTTACCCTATTATTCTATCTACTTGCAGAATTTAAATGTCTACATGGCCCTATTATCTAATGCACACAAAGAAAGCGATAAAGAAAGCAGTAAAAGAGAGAGAGAATAGGGAAGGAACCTCCGAAGCAAGCTTTATATTAACCCTTCGAAACTTGAAGACGCTTTTTGGCAGTCCCCGCACTCTACAAGCATGCTCCTCCAGCAAAAGAAAGAAAAGTCACTCTACCGAGGGCCGGACGTCTCAATAGGAAACTTCCTTAACTGATTTAGACTTTAAACGAAAATTGGAAAGCTCACTCGAACTCCGGAATAATGCTTAGAGTCACTCTAAAGTGCCAAAAGGCTTCCTAGAGAGTGGTAGGAGTGAAAAGGTGTGTAATTTCGAGGAATGGGGGCTCCTATTTATAGGGAAACGGTCCAGGAAAAAGTGGACAACCGTCTGGACTTAGCGGACAGTCGTCCATGCCAACTTTATGGCCATGGACAGCTGTCCATGTAGTATGGACGACCGTCCAAGCTGTCCATGTAGTATGGAGGAAAGGTAGAAGGGTGCCACAACCACCCGCTCCACTCGCCTCACCATCAGTAAATGGAGAATTGCAAACCCAAGTCAATGCCTTGACCTAAAGGATAAGAATCATGGGAGCTCAGTTGAGGGCCCTTGAGGAGAAAGAACAAGAGTCTATCCTTACCATTGACAGTCTGCAAAGGCAGTGCAAGAAGAAGGACCAAGAGATAGAGTGTCTCAAGGACCAATGTGCTGACTCCAACGAGGAGGTTATCCGGGCATCCAAAGTTGCCAGAGTAAACTCGGATAATCAAATCCAAGAGATGACGGCTAAATTAGCACAACTTGAGGCTGAATATGCAAAGCAAGCACAAATGACCAAGATGATGCAACAAGATCTTGAAAGGACTCGGTCTGAAGCACAACGAAAGTGGGAAACCACCCAAAGACTTAACAGATGCTTGGTTGAGCTACGTTGCAAAGAGAGAGATGGATTAGCTCAATACGGTCAAGTTCTGGAAGAAAGAGACCGAGTTGTCGAGAAGCTCGATAACTTACAAGCCTTGGTCGTCCATCAAGAGGCAAAAATAAAGGAGGCTAAAAAATATAGTGGAGATATGAGCCAAGCAGTTCATCGACAGTCTAAAACACTGGCTCATCATGTATGGGAACCTGAAGGGGAATTACGTAGGAATAAGAACCCGCCTGTGGGTTTCTTTAGGCTTTTCCGTTTCTGCCAAAACGTGCTTTGTAGCATGGTTTAGGGGAATGTACACTTTTTCCTTTATGAATAAAATCACCTTTTGTTTATCTTTACAACTGTCTATTGCATTCATCTCGCATTCATTCACATATCCCTCCTTGTTTAAAATTAATAAGATAATAAAAAGGAAAGATTAACTGGTGTGTTTCCATAAATCAGAAGAGTGGAGAGGAAACCACTCATCATTAGTCTCTCCCCAACGACTGAGCCACCTAAAGAAGACAATAAGCCTCAACCGTTGGTTATCACAATCAATAAAGAAGAGGGGGTAAGGACACCACTGCGATTGTTTATGCCTCATCCTTTCCCCTACAAATCAAATAAAGTTGTATCATGGAAATACGCAGTAAATGAAGATATTTCCAATATAGCTGGTATTAGGGACATGACCAGAAGCAGACGAATCTACTATCCCAAGGAGTCACAAGAACACACCCCAAAAAATAAAAGAAGAATCCAAGGAGGAGACTGATGAGTTACTCCAGTTCATAAAGCAAAGTGAGTACTCTATCATAGACCAACCCGAAGAAGAGAATAAAGAAGAATCCAAGGAGGAGACTGATGAGTTACTCCAGTTCATAAAGCAAAGCGAGTACTCTATCATAGACCAACTCAATTGCACACCCGCGAAGATAACTTTGTTATCACTAATAATGAGTTCGGAACCACACCGGAATGCATTGCTGAAGGTCTTGAATGAAGCCTACGTGTCGCATACCATATCCCAAGACAAGTTCGAAGGGATTATTGGCAACATCACAACCAATGATCATCTTACCTTCACCGATGAAGAACTCCCTCCTGAAGGGTCAAGCCATAACATGCCTCTGCACATCTCTGTCAAGTGTAGAGAATATCTCATCGCCAAAGTCCTTGTGGATAATGGGTATCGCCTCCATCAAAAGAGGCGGTCGGAGCGACGCAATGATTTTGTTTGACTCACGTTTTTTAAAGAAATGGTTCAACGCCTTTAGGTTGTCCGATAACCGGGCTGGACCTAAAGGCAAGGTTTTCGAAAAGGTTCGAGGAGTCGCCACCAATATTTTTACCAAAAACATTGGAAAAGGAAAAGAAGTCAATGGTTTTTAAGAAAAACCAAATTTGGTCATTACAACCAGAGTTAGGTAAGGGAGTTAGTTACGTTTGGGGAAGGTATTAGCTTCACCACAACGCCCATTTCGGGTTCCTTATGATGGACCATTTTTATAAAGAAATAAGAACTTTAAAACTATGCTTTCACCTTTATTTATTCATTGCAAAAATTAAGTTATCGACTACATGACCCTTAATAACTAATGCATAAAGATATTATCTAAAATGCAGTAAAATAGAGAAAGAGGTATGGAAAAACCTTCGAAGCAAGCTTTTATATAAAATGTTCTTGAAAAGGGCGCTTTTTGGCAAATCCCACGCTCTACAATGATGCTCGCTCTTCTCTCCCAGAACTTTAGAATGCTTCCTAAGAACTCTAGAAACTTTGGAAATGCTTCAGAGGGGTCCTAGGAGAGTATTTTGAGAATTGTGCAGTAGGAGAAGTTGTAGAATTGTGTGAAAACAAGGAGAAGCTCCCCCCCTTTTTATAGCTCCACTAGCTAGGTAACTCATCTTTCTAACTAAGAAAGCAGAAAATCCTCTAAGCCCGCCTGCTTAACCAATAGGCTCTCTTTTCATCCAGCTTTAAATCGATCAGATGGGCTTTTACTTTGTTTACTCGGAGTTCTTTCCATCTAGTCAGGTTTTCTTTTTTGCGTTCACTCGCGGAGTTATAGTTAGATTCATGACTTCTTCGCATCTCTCAATCAACATACTTCCAATCTCTCACCAACCCCCAAGCTGATTTGGCTAAAAAAAGGACTTGGTTCCCTAAGAGCAAGAAGGGATTCAAAAATAGAAAAAAAAGGGGCGTAGCGGTAAGACAGAAGAGCCTTTTATATTCCTCATTCCTACTCCTAACTACTAGTAGGTCACTTACTCTCATTAGGGTAAATGGTTGACTCTAACACTCGAAATAAAAGAAGAGGAGAGATTCAAACAACCAGCAACCATCGAAGCGAGACCAGAGTCTCCAGGTCACAGTCCACGGTCGAGATACAGAAACAGAGCAACCCACTATCGAACCTATAGACAGGACAGTTGAAGTGAAAGGGGACTTTTTCTTTTCTTTTATAACACTACGGGACTTGGTCAAAGACTAGGAGAGCGAGTCAAGACACTCTCTTCTTCCTCTTCCTATTTAAAAAAAAAGGAGAAAGGCAAAGAAATGAAGCAAGACCAACTGAAGGACAAACAGAGTCAAGCTCAATTCATTGTTATAGGGTGCCACGCGCTGATAAAAGCACAAGAGGCACAAACAAAGCAGCAAGGATGAGGAAAGGACAAGAACGAGAACATTGAAGAGAAATTATATATATTGTAATCTTATATATAGTAATCTTAATTGCTCTTTTTTCTTTCCTTTCGAAAGTCGAATTCGATAAACAATAATTAAAAAAACTGAATGAATAAATTTATGACAAATTATGGGGTGGAAAGAATAGCGGTTTGTGATCGGAGACACTTTGATAATTAATTAATAAATAAATAGGTTGTGAGCCCCCTCGACGTTTTGGATTTCTTCCTAGGTGCAGGCCTGTCCTTCTTCTTATTGCTAGGTTGTAGTTGATTGAATAAGGCTTCCCCGCTTCTTATCTGGCATGACTGGACGCAGCAGCTACATGGACCCCTTCCTTTCTGTTGTTGCCAGCACTTTCCCGGGCCGAGAAAAAAAGGGCAGGCAAAGCCTGAAGGCTGCTATCCCAATAGGCAAGCGGGCGGAATGAGGAGAGGTCCTGACAATCATACCACCACAGTCGAAAAAGCGTGTTCCCTTCAGATAACACGCACCGTAGGCCATCCTCAGCCTTCTTCATTTTTTATGAAAAACAAAAAAAAATATCGATCTCTGAAAGTGTTTTCCTTTCCCAGCCACATCTCCCTTCGTCGAGCCTTTCCTTTAATGGTTGGGGAAGAATTCACACCTGTCAGGTCGAGACCGCCATCTCACCAAACGAGACGGCGGTCTCACCTTTGGCAAGTGGTGAGACGACGGTCTCGCCAAATGAGGCGGAGGTCTCGCCAAACGAGGCGGAGGTCTCACTATTGGCGAGTGGCGAGACGACAGTCTCAGCCAAACGAGACGGTGGTCTCGCCTTTGGGGAGTGGCGAGACGGCGGTCTCGCCCTTAGCCAACAGCGAGACGATGGTCTCGCCAAACGGGACAGTGGCCTCCACCCTTTGGGTGAAATTTCTTATTTTTCGTGTACAAAAATCCTTCCTATTCTAATATGGGGCCTATTGATCAATTATAGGGACCTTTTAGGCCTTTCCCATCTTTGAACGAAAGTCTTCTGCTCTTTATTTTGAGGCGGGGCAAGATTTGGGGTCTACAGCTGCCCCCCCCCCCCTTCACCTGACTAGCTGACTGTTGGCTAAACATGCCAAAAAGATCAACTGGAGGGTGAAGGAGTTAACCCTCTTGCGCGGTTGTCCTTCGATTGCTTCCCTTGTTGTGGTAGCCGACCTTCTGGACGCTAAATGTGATCCTCCGGGATGCTCCTTTGATGCGGTAGCTGGCCCCTTCGGTTAATGAGTACGAACCCCCATCTGGTTGTAAAGTCTGGTTTAAGCCCCCTTTTGTAAGGCTTGATGAGTACGCACCCCCATCTGGTTTGATGAGTACGAACCCCTGTCTGGTTGTTGTAACCTTGGGATGCTCTTTTCGTAGCTGACCCCTTGGTTGCAAAGTCCGGTTTAAGCCCCCTTTTGTAAGGCTTGATGAGTACGCACCCCCATCTAGTTTGACGAGTACAAACCCCCGTCTGGTTGGTGAAGTCCACTTTGTAGGACCGGTCCAACTTACTGTTTTGGCTCATGCGTAATGATTTTGCTTGTGTGCAGGTCTTTGTCTTCGGGACCTTTCTTGTCGCGAAGTTGAGGTGGCGACTTACTGCTCTGGCTCATGCGCCTAACAATCATGTCCCTAACATCTGCCTCTCTGGTTCTCCTAGTCGCTTCGGTTGAGATGCTCGAGCCCGGAGTGAAGACTATGCAAAGCTTGCTTGCTTTTGGAAGGACACTACCTTAGTCGCCTTACGGTTTTCGGCTAAGGTAATCATTACTCTTTTTGTTTTTTTTTTAACCTCTAAATTTTGCCTAGGACATGTCCTAGCGAAGAATATGGACACTATATTTTTCCTAGGATGCTCTTTGCGAGTTTTCGTCCTGACGGGTCATGAACAATGTCTTCAAGCGTAATACTTCTTTACCGCGTCTGAGTTGACCGGGTACTGATGCTCTTTTGAGAAAGTTTGCTGCCATAAAGGGTCCTTCGTAGTTTGCTGCCCATTTTCCAAGTTTGTCCTTCTGCACAGGAACCAGTTTCTTTATTACTAAATCCCCTTCTTGAAAAGTGCAGGGATTGATCTTTTTATCATAGACCTTCTTGATCTTCTTCTGATAGGCTTGCTCATGACATATGGCATCCAGTCGTTTTTTTTAATTAGATTAAGTTGGTCATACTGATTCTGGACCCATTCTGCTTCGGTCAACTTTGCTTCCATAATGACTCTTAGGGAGGGTATTTTGACTTCTACTGGCAATACAGCCTCCATGGCGTATATGAGGGAGAACGGGGTGGCTCCGGTGGAGGTCTGTATGGAAGTCCGGTATCCGTGCAGGGCGAAGGGTAGCATTTTGTGCCAATCCTTGTATGTTATCACCATCTTTTGGATGATCTTTTTGATATTTTTGTTGGCTGCTTCCACTGCCCCGTTCATTTTGGGTTGGTATGGAGAGGATTTGTGATGTTGAATCTAGAAATCTTTGCATAACTCCTCCATCATCTTGTTGTTCAGATTGGTCCCATTATCAGTAATGAGTCGATGAGGGATACCATACCGGCATAGAATATTTTTCTTGATGAAGGTGGTTACCACTTTCGTAGTCACGCGTGCATAGGATGCCGCCTCTACCCATTTAGTAAAATAGTCAATGGACACAAAGATAAAACGGTGACCATTAGATTCCTTGGGTTCGATAGATCCGATGATGTCCATGCCCCACATGGAGAATGGCCATGGTGTGGCCAAGATGTTGAGAGGTGCAGGCGGGACGTGAACATTATCGGCGTAGACTTGGCATTTATGGCATCACTTAGCATATTGGCGACAGTCGCCTTCCATTGTGGACCAGAAATACCCTGCCCTTAAGATCTTCTTTACCATGACATGCCCTAGCGCGTGGGTCCCAAAAGCTCCTTTATGAATCTCCTTTATCAGAGTTTGAGCCTCCTTGTGATCCACACACCTTAATAGAGTGGAATCGAAATTCTTTTTATAAAGAGTTTCTCCAATAAATGCAAACCCCATGGCCCTCTTTCGGATGATCCTTTTGCCATTATTACTGATTCCTTCGGGATATTCACCCTTCGTGAGGTATCGCTTAATGTCATGATACCAAGGGTTTTTATCTTGCTCGCTATTTACTGTCATGCAAAAAGCCTGTTTGTCATGCAGCTTGATTTGAATAGTCGGCATCTCATGCTCTTGGTCTAAAGAGAACATGGATGATAAAGTAGCGAGGGCGTCTGCAAATTGATTGTCTTCCCGAGGGATGTACTTTAAAGTGACGCTTTCCAGCCTCAAAACCAAGTCCCGAATGTGCTCTTAATATGGGATTAATTTGGAATTTTGGGTTTCCCATTCACCCTTGAGTTGATAGATAACAAGGGATGAATCACCGAAAACTCTGAGTTTGGTCACCCCATGATCTAGAGCTGCTTGGATTCCTAATGCACAGGCTTCATATTCGGCCATATTATTTGTACAGTCAAAGTTTAACCTGGCCATTACCGAGATATATTTCTTTTCTAGGGATATCAAGATGGCTCTGATCCCATGCCCAAGCATGTTTGAGGCTCCATCGAGAAACATAGTTCATGCATCTTCTTTGGTCTCTTCGTGTTCAATGTGCATGATATGTTGATCGAGAAAGTCGTCTTGCAGGGATTGGTACTCATTTGTTGATCCGTGTGCTAGATAGTCTGCTAGGGGACTACCTTTGATAGTTTTCTGGGTGACATGAATAATATCGAATTCTGAGAGGAGCACTTGCCACCTAGCTATTCTTCTGGTCAAGATGGGCTTTTCGAAGAGGTACTTGATTGGGTCCATTTTGGAGACCAACCATGTTGTATGTCGAGCCATGTATTGTCGAAGACGTTGAGTTGCGCACACCAATACATAACACGTTTTTTCGATTGGCGTATAGTGGGTCTCATAGTCTAGGAACTTTTTGTTGAGACAATATATGGCTCGCTCCTTTTTCCTTGTTTCATCTTGTTGACCAAGCACACATCCCATGGATTCTTCGAGTATCGATAAAGTATAAAATCAGAGGTTTTCCTTTGATGGGTGGAACCAATGGTGGGTTGGTCAAGCACATATTGATCTTGTCAAATGCCTGTTGACATTCCTCGTTCCACACCGTTGGTTAATTCTTACGCAACAACTTGAAGATGGGCATACATTTGTCTGTTACCTGTGCGATGAATTTAGCAATATAGTTTATTCGGCCCAAAAATCCTCTGACCTCCTTTTTTATTCTTGGTGGGGGCATTTCCAGGATTGCCTTTGTTATATCGGGGTCTACCTCAATTCCCCTTTGACTAATGCTGAACCCTAGAAGTTTGCCTGACCGTACTCCGAAAGTACACTTTTTTGGATTTAGTTTAAGTTGATACTTTTGAAGCCGATCAAACAGCTTTTTGAGATACTAAATATGGTCCATCTCATTCCTAGATTTGGCAATCATATCATCCACGTATACTTCTATCTCTTTATGGATCATGTCATGGAATAATGTTACCATAGCCCTTTGATAAGTAGCCCCTGCGTTTTTGAGCCCAAAAGGAATCACTCTATAACAAAATGTCCCCCATGGCATGATAAAGGAGGTCTTTTCTCTATCTTTGACAACTAACTTGATTTGATTATACCCTGCATATCCGTCCATGAAAGAATAGAGTGTGTTCGTAGCGGTGTGATCCACTAACTTGTCAATGTGTGGTAAGGGGAAATCATCTTTTGGACTTGCCCGATTTAGGTCCCTATAATCCACACATACTCTGATCTTTCCACTCTTCTTGATGACGGGCACTATGTTTGCCAACCATTCGCGGTACTTGGATACGATTAGGAAGTTAGCGTCTAACTGTCTTTGCACCTCTTCCTTGATCATTAAGGACCAATCTGGTTTTAATCTTTTGAGCTTCTATTTTATGGGCCATAATCCCTCTTTCAATGGTAACAGATGATTTACTATACTCGTGTCGAGTCCAGGGATGTCATGATAAGACCAAACAAATACATCCATGTCGCCCCCATAAAAAGAGGCGGTCAGAGCGACGCGATGGTTTTGCTTCGACTAGCGTTTTTTTTAAAGTGATGTTACAACGTCTTTAGGTTGTCCGATAACCGGGTTGGACCAAGAAGAGAGGTTTTCGAAAAGGGTTTCGGATTCGCCACCAATGTTTTATCCAGAAACATTGGAAAAGGAAGAAAAAGAAGGCGTTGGTTTAGAAAAAAACCAACTTTGATCATTATAACCAGAGTTGGGTAAGGGAGTTAGTTACGTATAGGGAAGATATTAGCTTCCCTACGACGCCCCTTTCGGGTTCCCTATGATGGACCGTTTATTTTCTAAATAAAAACTCTAAAATTACGCTTTTACCCTTATTTATTCATTTGCGAAATTTAAAATGTTGACTACATGGCCCTAACAGCTAATACACAATAGATGCATAAAAAAAAAGCGGTAAAATAGAATATAAAGTGTAGGAACCTTCAAAACAAGCTTTTGTATTAATATTCTT